ATTGTTAAAATGCCATAGCAAGTATTTATACCTGAAATTGTTAAAATGTCATATTTGATACTCTAAGAGGGTTCAATAAATTTAAACTGAATTGATACTTATAGATTAAGTTCATAATATCCCACTTGTCACTACCTAAACAATTCAATAAAAACATTTTCTAAAACAATTACAATCACTCAGAATAATATCACCAGGGAGCTATGAATGAGCTATTTATTGGGCTTATAGCTAGGCCAGTAGACCATAAATGTAAAAGATAATGACCACATACAAAGAATAACATATATCAATATAAGACTTTTTCTGGTGTTCTGACTTACTAAAACACAAAATCACCATTCTGTCTTTATTTTATATAATTTTTTTCAACAAAATTCTTTCAATGCTGACAGCTTTCAAGTAGCTGCAGAATGGTCAACCATGTTATCTAATGGGCAACTATGTCATATTAAAGAGATATTTACAACATTTTTTACCTCACTGCTACTTTACCATTATACATTTTGAGAATCACTAAGAATTCTTTAAATCCTAACTTAATACTTTCAACCCTTACTGAGCATTAATTAACATTGTGATTGGGGGATGGCTCCCAAACAGTGCTCAGGATTCCCTTCTAGAGATTCTCAGCTAACCTGACCAACAATTCAGTCCCAGGTCACAGTGGAGCAGGTCACTGACTGCAGTGCCAGAGATTACCCAGGACCCTTCAGCAGCACTGCATGCTCCCTTAACTGCTACCCGCTCCCAGAACACAGATCTAAATGGAAATCTTCAAATTAAAAAGGAAAAGAAAATAGAAATACTTAGCTGTTGGAAGAAATTATGTCAGTAAATCTAAGATAGAATAAGACTGGAAAGTGGAGAGTTGTGACAGAAAGAGAAAACATAAAAATGGAAACTGGAGTGATAGTATGGCTTGGCCAAACCGGGCTCACTTCCTGGCACTACATGGTAGTCCAGACACTTTCAGGAGCCACCTGAACACTGCCAGGTGCCGTGCTGGAGAGCCCAGCACTACTAAAGTGTCCCAGGTAATCCTTGGCCCCTCCGAATTGAAGCTGCACCACATCCTCAGGCCTCCCACTGAACTGCCAACCTTTTACATGAGACTATCTGGCCACTAGGACCCTGAGTCATGCATTGGAGGAACATTCCCCCAATCCCTAAAATACATAAGATATGATGATAAAACATTAACACACACAAAAAAAAATCTACTTAATTCTTAGGAGTAGTTTTATCAGTTTATTAACAAGCTCATGTGTTCTTATAATATTTATGCAGAGAAGTCCAGAATATTTTTTGAATAAATAAAAGATTAAATACAGAACTGTGTATAATGCAGAAAACCAATCAACTTTCTTTCTGTCATATAACACAGAAGTATGGTCCTGTGTGTATTCAGAACTGACAATCCAGGATAAGGAAGTGGCTCCCATTTCAGCACAGCATGCTATATTCTCTCTACAAAAGTGAAAAATACTGGGCTGGAGTGATAGCACAGCGGGTGGAGCATTTGCCTTGAACGTGAATGACCTGGGTTCGATTCCCAGCATCCCATATGATCCCCTGAGCACCACTGGAGTAATTCCTGAGTGCAGAGCCAGGAGTAATCCCTGTGCATCACTGGGTGTGACCCAAAAAGGACAAAAAAAAGTGAAAAATACAAACTCTCAGTGTATAAATGTCCACAGTCTATAGGAAAGACACCTCTATGTAAATACACACACATATAGACGAAAAGAATTAGAAAAAAAACTATACATAAGTATTATCAGATCAGAGAGTGGTTGGAGGTAGAGATCCTGAGTTTGGACCCTGGTACTGCATGTCTCTACACTCCTGGCATCACCCAAAGGGAAGCAGCTCTGAGTGTGGTCCCTTTGGCTGCAGTGCTGCATCACCAGCAGATCACTGACCCAACCCCGCCCAGGTCCTAGCAGACACTCAACAGAAAGGCACAGAAATGTTGACTCGATGTCCACAATGTTTTGGAGAACAGAAAGTCCAGATCTTAAAATTTCCAATACTAATCTGTGCCAAGAAATACACATGTAGTATACATAATTGAAAATAAGTTTTATGAAAAGTCTCCTTTTTCCTGTTCATGCATTTGATTTTTCCTGTTTCCTTTTACAACGTAGATGAAGATGTGAATGAAGATGTACCTAACCAATTTCAAGATCTGTTTGTCGGAAAACACTGTTGTGAGCATTGAATGGAAGTGGGTTAACCAATGAAAATGCAGAGTGAAAATGTAGAGTGCACTAACCACACAGCTCTACAGTTTCTAGAATCCAGGTGGTTTGCTGCTGAATTACAAGGACCCGAGTTCAATTCCTCCGCCCCTCTCGGAGAGCCCGGCAAGCTACCGAGAGTATTCGATATGCCAGACACAGTAACAACAAAGTCTCCAATGGAGATGTTACTGGGCCCGCTCGAGCAAATCGACGATCAACGGGAGGGCCTTTACCTTTACCTATGGAATCTATGATCTGGATTCCTTTCCTCCTGAAAATAATTGTGTATAGTATAGAAGTCCCTCTCCATATCCAGTGCAAAGCACAAGAAGGGCAAGTTTCATAGGCCATTTTTGTCCTTGCTCACAGTGTTTTGGACTCCTTCTGTCAACAGGGAATAAAAGTATTTGGAAAACAACTCCCACATTTAGAAACTTCTCAAATGCAATCTACACCTAAATTTATAACAGAAATTACCAGATTCAATTTTTTATGAGCCATAGACTTCAGACCTCTTTGCTCCTGCCTCTATGAATAATAGCAACTGATTGTTTCCAAAACCGTTTTCACTAAAAAAGACTACTGACCATTTTCTATGTAGTAGGTTCTGTTCTAGGGCTAGTAACTAGTGGAGATGTATGTTGAAGTAGTAGAAAAAGCAAAGTTCAACTGTCCTGGGGATTACACTGTTCAGAAAACAATGAGAAAAATTAACACATTTTATAATTAAAGCTTTGAAGGAAATAAACAGTGTTTTAGATTAGAGAAAAGTATTTAACAAAGGAAGGCATTTTTCAAGAATTATTTGAATTGGGGCTAGAGCAATAGCACAGCGAGGAGGGTGTTTGCCTTGCATGCTTCTGACCCAGGTTGGATTCCCAGCATCCCATATAGTCCCCTGAGCACCACCAGGAGTTATTCCTGAGAGCAGAGGCAGGAGCAACCCCTGTGCATCACCAGGTGTGACCCAAAATACCAAAAAAAAAAAAAAAAAAAAAAAAGCAAAAAAGAGAGAATTATTTAAATTGAGATACAATAGATAAGAAGCCTTTAAGGTAAGATGCTGAGGCAAAGAATTCTTCTGTTTCCAAAGAACATAAGACAGGAGACATTAGAAGGGGTGTGTTACTTAAGGCTAGTATATTCTGAGCCCAGGAGGATTTGGAATGAATCAAATGAGATGAGATAAGTTCTGTGGTTACCTATTGTCTCAATGATTACAATGAGAAGTTACTGGGAAATGGTATGGTCTATTCTGGGTTTTTGAAATATTCTAAGTGAGAGTCTAAAAGTAGTATGTTAGTGCAATCACATTTATAAGTCTAGTTCTAGATACTGTACTGGATCTCTATTTTTTCAAAACAACATCTCAGACTGGACGCACAAAAAGAGAGGGACTGTTTTGAACTAGTTTTAGTTTTATATGGTTGAGTACAGGCCACTGACAATATAATTTATCAGTCAGAATAATGAAACACGATTTAACTAAGATCATTTTACTGAAAAACATAGTTCTCCTTCTGGATACCCATTGAAATTCCTCAGGGAGCTTCTACAACTCTCTGCCCAGGTTCTTTCTAGTAGTTCTGATTTAACTGGTTTGATGTGAGACACAGGCTTAAGTATTTTAAAATTTTTCCATAGAGATTTCTAATGAGATTGAAAGACCAGAGTTAGAAGCATGGTCTCTGATGTTAAGCCAATAAACTTATTCCATTAAATGAGAGATTAATAGGGAATGGGCTGAAGAAATTTTCCCTCAAAAAAGTAGAAGCCTTTGCTTCAAATCAACCTAGTTTAATAAAATATGTTATTTTTCTTGAGAGTGTGTGCCTTTTTGAAGTTGAGAGAAAATAATGCTTTCAGCTTACTTGTTAAAGAAAAACAAACACGGCGACATCACATGTATATTTTATTTTCATAATGAGCACCAAAGTGGGGCGAGATTACAGCTGATGCATGAGTGGAACAAGAGGAGCTACTAATCTTGCCGGGGCAAGAAAACACATAGGAAAAAAGTAAGTGCCACAGAAAAGTGCTCACAAAAGATGTAGTATTTATGAGGAACATAATAATAACCTGTAAAACACCCTGGTTGTTTTTCAACTGCTCTTCTCTTGTAATGTCTTCTTGATAGCATGTGAATGGGTAATTGAAAGATAACTTTAGAACTTGCCTTGCCTAAGCGGGTCAGCTAATTGTGGCTTTATTAGAATCAAAACCATGCTTTTCGTATTATCTTAACTGTGCTTCATTTAGACTTTTATTTTTTTTCCTTCTTTTGGTCTTGCCCCCTATCTCTAACCCAAAATAGCCAAGAAGAATCCAAGTCTGGAGAATTATTTTAAGAGGCGCAACTTTCCTAGTAAAGCATGTGACGGGTGCCACCACGGTGATTCAGCGGGATAAAATTTAGTAACCGAACAGAAGGGGAGAAAAAAAAAGAAAAAGGGTGGATTTTTCTTTTTTTCCTTCTTTTTTTTTGCTCTTTTTCACTGGGCGTGTTCACCTAAGGAGGGGAGTAAAAACAGAAGAGCAGCTAAGGCCAGGGCGGCGAAACGAATGCCCGGACGAGGAAAGGCGTGCAGGGCGCGTCCCATGCCCCCGAGCTGAGCTCCGGAGCACCCGGAGGCGCTGCCCTGGGCCACGCCCAGCAGCCCGGCCGGAAGGAGCGAGTCGGGAGGCGAACTACAAATCCCAGAAGCCCCCGCGCCGGCGCGCGAGGGCTGCCGGGAGCCAGGCCGCGGGGCCAAGATGTCGCAGCCCGCGAAGAGGAAGCTGGAGTCGGGGGGCGGCGAGGAGCCGGGAGACGAGCGCGGCGGGGAGCCAGGGGCGGCCCCGCCGCGGCCCCGCCGGACGAAGCGGGAGCGCGACCAGCTGTACTACGAGTCCTACTCGGACATCTCGGTGCACGAGGAGATGATCTCGGACCGCGTCCGCACCGACGCCTACCGCCTGGCCATCCAGCACAACCGCGCGGCGCTGCAGGGCAAGACGGTGCTGGACGTGGGCGCGGGCACCGGCATCCTGAGCATCTTCTGCGCGCAGGCCGGGGCCCGCCGCGTGTACGCCGTGGAGGCCAGCGCCATCTGGCAGCAGGCGCGGGACGTGGTGCGGCTCAACGGCCTGGAGGACCGCGTGCACGTCCTGCCGGGCACGGTGGAGACGGTGGAGCTGCCCGAGCGGGTGGACGCCATCGTGAGCGAGTGGATGGGCTACGGGCTGCTGCACGAGTCCATGCTGAGCTCGGTGCTGCACGCGCGCGCCAAGTGGCTCAAGGAGGGCGGCCTGCTGCTGCCCGCCTCGGCCGAGCTCTTCGTGGCGCCCATCAGCGACCACATGCTGGAGCTGCGCCTGGGCTTCTGGAGCCAGGTGCAGCAGAGCTACGGCGTGGACATGAGCTGCCTGGAGGGCTTCGCCACGCGCTGCCTCATGGGCCGCTCGGAGCTCGTGGTGGAGGGCCTGAGCGGCGAGGACGTGCTGGCGCGGCCGCAGCGCGTGGCCCGGCTCGACCTGGCCCGCGCCGGCCTGGAGCGGGAGCTGCAGACGGGCGTGGGCGGCCGCTTCGCCTTCAGCAGCTACGGCTCGGCGCCGCTGCACGGCTTCGCCCTCTGGTTCCAGGTGACCTTCCCCGCCGGGGAGGCGGAGCAGCCGCTGGTGCTGTCCACGTCGCCCTTCCAGCAGGCCACGCACTGGAAGCAGGTGCTGCTCTACCTGAACGAGCCCGTGCCGGTGGAGCAGGACACGCGCATCTCCGGGGAGATCACGCTGCTGCCCTCCCTGGACAACCACCGGCTCCTGCGCGCGCAGCTGCGCTACCGGGTGGACAGCCAGGAAGAACAGACCAAAGACTTTGCCATGCCCGAGTGAGCCTTGCTTTTGCTCTGCCCGCCGCCTCCAGAGAGGCTTGGGGGCGTTGGAGGAGAAAGGCGGATGCCACGTGCAAGTGTGTGTGTGTGTGGGGGGGGGCAATCTCTTGTGTCTCCCTTCCCATCTTGGCAATCTGGGGACGGAGAATGAATGACCTCAGTGTCCCCTCCAAGGAGGTTCTTCTGGCAGCAGCTGTTAAAAGTGATCCTTATTCTCTCTCAACCATGGATACAGAGTGTTTACTAGTGGGCTTCTATGCCTCCAAAGCTTGTGGTCCTAAAGCACTTGCATTGCCTTTGTTTCATGGTAAAAAAAAAAAGTTGAAATTTATTTGTGAAGGTTCCTGGTACATCATTGACACCTCGCACCTGGGTCTGAAAGACAGCAGCATTAAAGTGTTTTAGTTAGGTGTGATACATCCACAGTATGGCTTTAGGGCCTGGCCAACGCTTTACTCACCATTTCTGAATTTCCTTCCTCCCCAGATATCTCTAGGTTTGTGTCCTTTTTCTCTCTTGGTTCTTAAGACAAAGTTGTATTACTGCTAAGGAGAGCAAGGAAAAATGAAGCAGTTTGAGTAACCTAGTTTTCATTACTCCTACTCAAGTGGGGTGCCAAACTTGCTGAACACATTGTTCTTTCTGTAAGGAAAAAACTACATGTAGATGTATAGTATGCCTAAGAAATCTAGAAGGCACATTTAAGAAAAAAGGACGAAGTATTTTTTGGTTTTTCCCATTAAGACAACGAAGAAAATGCTTCATGTTTGTTGTATAAATTTTGTGAACTTCCTATGAAACTGGCTAATTCGGGGTTCTGAATTTGACCCAGGGGTTTATTCATCATCGAGGGTGAATGATTTAAACTCACTAAATTAAGGACGATATTTTCCCAGCCAGGAAAGTGCACCCATGCTCATTTAAACTCTCATTTAGAGGAATCATGTGACTTGGCCTACTTACATGAAGGGAAAGTTCCTTTTTTTAGTGTTGTGTTTTTGTTTTTTTAGCTCAGCCAAATGTGAAAGTTGTGAATTTAGAAAAAAATCATTTGTAATGAAGTATGAGTCATGTTATCAAATTTATTTTACTGATGTTTCCCTCATCCCTGTGGCAAATAAAACATTGACATTCTCTATTTTTATAGATCAAGTAAGATATCTTGTGTACTGAGTTAAAATGCCTTTGCCTTTTTAATACTGTCAGTTCTTAAGCAAAGTGTTACAACCCTTCGGAATATAGCTACAGGGTAATTCAGGGATGCTTAAGATATGGTTTATTCATGCTAGTTGCTTCTGGAATGCTAATAGAAGCAGATATGAAAAACTTATTAACAAGTACTCTATTTGGTTTATTGTTAACTGAGTTTTCTCTGTTCACCTCATGTTAAAATACTTGATTATTAGAACCTCAGTTGCTGATATCTGGTACTTAAGACATGACACCTGCTGTTATTATGGAAAATACACAATGCAGATCATTGAATTTACAAGATGTGTGACTAGTAAGGAATGCAGTTAGAGTTGTCATAATTTTGCTGCTGTCAAGGTAAACAACCTTTGTAAGTGCTGCATCCATAACAAACTTGACCTGGTCTAAGCTATAGAAGTAAAATCACCTTGTTTTAAACTCATCGATAAATTAAACATTTTTTAGAATCTTAGTGTATGGTTTTGAATGATTTTGTTTTGTTTTTTTACTGTAACAACCCCTTTGCTAAACATTTGTCAAATTGTGCATTCTTCATCTTATGAATTTACAAGTACTCTCGAGTCCCATTATCAGTATGAAAACACAAAGAGAACTTTATTAAACTTGGGAAAACGGGCCAAAGACCTACTAAAGGGGTAAAGTGCTCACCTTGCATCCACCCCAGTTTTATTCCTAGTCTACACATGATCACCCAAGCACTGCCAGGAGCAACCACCAAGCATTTCCAGAGAGAGGCCAAAGCACAACCCCCCTCCCAAAAATAAAGTTTGGATGACTTTAGATATAAGAAGTATGAATTTAAAAATTGGTCAAAGTAAACTTTAAAATTCTTAACATTGCTGTTTTCTAGAGGAAATAATTTTAAGCCAGTAAGTTGAGGGACGGCATGGTTGAAAGCTTGGGTTATGGAGCGAGGAAGCTAAGGCTGGAACCTAAACTTGATTGCCTTTTAACTGTATGAACTTGGGCAAAATACTCAAATCTCTTTTTCTCCTGTGAGATCTTATGAGGTGGAATAATTAAACCTGCACCGTGGTGAGGATATGATGAGTTAATATGTCTTAGCAGATAATACCAGGTAAATAATAAGATCTCAGTCATTTCTAACTGATGTCATTATTAAAAATAAGCAGAATGGGAGCAATCAAACAAAATAATGCTGCAGAATAAGTTTTCAGCATTTTTTATTTATTTATTTATTTATTTATTTATTTATTTGCAGGTATTGTTTGACAGAATCAGCATGGCTGTGTACAGAGAACAGTGTATGACACTGAACACCAGGTGACGCAAAGGAAGCCTAAGGCCTTTGGAGTGTGGACACTTCCAGAAGATTGCGAATTTACCTACGTCTAGGCATCTTTATCTCATGTGAACTGCTGCTTAGGCCCATTTGTGCTATAGGAAGAAACTGCCAACTCTAAGGACAGAAAAACTGAAGTTCTCCCTGTTTACTTCATACAGTTTAATCTACTTAGTCCCATGAAACTTTCCAAATATTTTCATTTACTCACTAGGCCGATGGATATTTTAATGAGTATACAGTATAATGGTCATTGTGATAAGCACTTAAGATACAAATCAATCAGCCATACTTTCAGCCTCCAAATACATTTGTAGAATAAGCCAGAAAATGGGGGAAAAAAATGATGTTGAACTACAGATTGAGGGTGTATGGTTGGTAGGAAGACCAAGTAATAGTCTTCAGATTATATAATGAGAAAAAGTTTTAAACAGATGAACTTGGCTAGTTTCGTGTAGCTAGTTCTTGGACAGCTGATCCCAAGTCTTTCAATTCTTAACTCCAAACAAAACTGCACTGTCATAGTAATCCTACATGTTTTAATTGTAAAAGCAAAAGTACATGATTTTGGAATGGGTGACATTTTTTTTTTGATGAAGGAAGAGTGAAACTAAGAAGGCTTCCTAAGAGCTTTATCTTAAAAAGAAAAAAAAAACAAATCTTTCTGCATATTGATTCTCACAGCTGACAAATGCTAGACTTGCACAGAAACTCACCCCTAACCCACCCACATCCACCCCAATCCATTTCTCTAATAGAGTTCATCAGATGGCCCCAGAAAAGTCATTTCCATAGCAAATACTGGTAACTACTCTTGGTTACAGGTTCTTGGTGCATATCTGAGGATAAGGTGTAGATAACACCTGCACTACTGAGCCATTCTAGTCAGTAAAACTATCAATTTAAGTTCTTTTATCAAGATGGGGGCAGGGGGGAGCACATTGTACCCTGAAACTAGGATACTTAGGGAATAAAAACTTCCACACCAGTAGTTTTTGCATTATTTAGGCTCGAAAGAGTATTTTAATGTGTCTTACCTATGCAGCAGAAGGATGAGAAGTCGGTCACTTGTCAATTTTATCCTTAAAATTTTTCCCACAAGCAAGCTTGCCTTGTAAGCAGTGGGCCTGGGTTCCATTCCCAGCATCCCTTATGGTTCACCAAGCCCCAGCAGGAGTGATCAGAGTACAGAGTACAGAGCCAGTCATGGCCAAAATAATTTCTCCCACTGGGTAAGGTATGACTTGTCATAGATTATAAACTCACTATCGCTGTCACTGTCCTCCCGTCCATTGATTTGCTCAAGCGAGCCCAGTAACATCTCCATTGTGAGACTTGTTACTGTGTTTGGCATGCTTGCCAGGCTTTGCCATGTGGGCGAGATACTCTCGGTAGCTTTCTGGGCTATCAGAGAGGGGTGGAGGAATTGAACCCAGGTCGGTCGGGTTGGCCGCATGCAAAGCAAACACCCTACTGCTGTGCAATCGCACCAGCCCAACTCAAAAAAATAAAATTTCACCATGATCTTTATAAATCTATTTCCTCTAAATGACTAGTTATTTCAATTAAGGACCTAATGTATTGGGTAAACGGCCTTTTACATAAGAGCTATTAGAAAGTCCAGCTGGAGACGTATTACAGCAGCTAGGGCACTTGTCTTGCACATGGCACACCCAGACTTGATAACCTGCCATCCCAGTTGGCTCCCCAAGCTTGCCATGAATGATCCTTAGTGCAGAAAACCAATGTTTGAGTCATTTTTTTAAAAGCGTTATCTCAGATTTCATTTGCCTTCCTTACTTTTTTAAAAAAATTTTTATTAGTGAAACACCATGAGGTACAGTTGTAGACTTGCAATTTTTTGAGCTAGGGTTTTGTATAAAATGATCGAGTACCCATCCCTCCACCCATGCCCATTCTCCATCCCAAATGATCCCAGTATCCCTCCCACCGCCCCATCCCACCTCTGTGGGAGAGCATTCCCTTTTGTTCTCTCTCTCCTGTTTGGTGCTGTGGTTTGCAAAAGAGGCATTGAGTGGTAATCATGTTCAGTCTATAGTCTACTTTGTTGAGAGGATCCTCTCAACACCCTTTACTTGGTGCTCCGTTCTCTATCTGAGCTGCCTTTTACCCTAGCATGTGCGGCTGGCCTCCAAGCATGGAGTGAACTTCCTAGTATTTATCTCAGTTATTCCTGGGTGTTAGTCTCCTAGTTTGTTACTTTTTATTCCCCAGATAAATGCAATCTTTCTATGTCTGTCTCTCTCTGACTCATTTCACTTAGCATGATACTTTCCATGTAGGACCACTTGTATGGAAATTTCATGACTTCATCTTTTCTAACAGCTGCATAGTACTCCAATGTGTAGATGTACCAAAGTTTCTTTAACCAGTCATCTGTTCTTGGGCACTCGGGTTTTTTTTTTTTTTTTTTTCAGATTTTGGCTATTGTGAACAGTGCAGCAATGAACATAGAAGTGCAGATG